AAATTAATGATTAAGCTTTATCACAACATTTTTGTAGTCTGTTACCTTTCCTTTTGCCTCTATTTTAAAATGGATATTCAATGTGCTGAGTATTTTTTAAAACTCGCAGGGAGAAGATCTTCAAAACAAAATCTGAGCCAGATTTTCAACAGCCTCAGCTAAGAAAAAGGTGTTGGATTTTCAAGATCTTTGATGAACAATCTGGCCACCAGAGTTGCCTCAGTGATCTGCTGGATGCTGGGCTCCACAAGTGTCTCTGTTGTTCCCTCCCCTACCTTTTAAAACATTTTACCCAAAAACAGTTCATTGTTTGTCCTTCAAGGAGCTATCATCATACTGATTAAGAAGTCAGAGGATTTACAGCTCATATTCAATTAAATCCTTCCCCAAAACCAGAAAACTTTTAGACCTCTACCCAGACTGTTATTTCTCCAAACAAGTTCCCCAATAGTTTCACTCCTGAAATATGGTAATCCTGTAATTCAGATTTTAGAATCCTACATTCAAGCACTTCACTCCTTTGTTACAGAGGATTTTGCATCATATAAGCCTTAAAAAAAAAAAGAACATAACATTAGACTCCAAAGCAATCCTCCATGTGATATCTCAACCCCCTCAAAGGTGGATGTGGTACAGTGATCAGTGATCGTGCTTGGAGCTACAGTTCCACTTTGGAGAGAGACAAAGAGGGCAGAAAACTTTCTGCTCCTTTAGTGTAGCTACTGACCCTTTTCTTCCGAAACACTCCCTGGAGCCATTTCAGGAGTTACTCACCTACATGTACTTAGTTTGTCTGATCACTGGCCCAGAGCTATTTAGAGGTGAGCTGTGCTTCTCTCACAGATATCAAGTCAGCAAATAAGAGTCTTTGTCAGCTGAGTCATTTCTGCCAGCTTTGCATTAAATACCATGGCTGGAGGGGATGTGCAGCTGAATTTAGGCCAAGCAAGAAGGCAAAACTCACCATCACTCAACAGCACATTCCCTGCAATGGGGTCAAAAAGCAGGCAAGGGTTCAGGTAAGAGCATGTCATAGCTGCATGAAGAGGACCTGGCTCTGGAAGCAGAGGATCCACACTGGCATGAAGGTAACCTGAGGTGGCACTGACAAAACCTGGGATATGCCCACAGCACGGCAGGGAGAGCACAGACAAGCCAAACTATCCCCAGAACCATGCTGTACATCCAAAACTGCAACTTGCATCATGTTAATGGGAAGTTTTATGCAGAAAAAAATTATGGAAGGAGAAAGAAGAATGAATGAATGCATATCAAAATAAAGTGCATTAAAATAAACTGCCCAGGACAGGGAGAGGAGAAGGGGTGGGTATTCAAGAGACCGTCTAGTCATATTTCCAAACATTTTCTTATCCTCATTTAAATATGCAATCAAAATCCTCGGCCTGCCTCAGGGTTTCCGTCTGCTCAGACACCCATGGTTCTGTTTCTGCAAAGAGTCAACAGAAAGAGATCATAAACTATTCCTTGTAACAACCAGCTTCATTTTCCTATCTGTCTGACTGCAATTCTAAAAATGAATAACTGCACCCCAAACTTTGAAAAAATTACTAAACTATGCCTTACAGATACATCCCACCTGAAAATAATGCTGCAGATCTGAGGTCCTCAGCTCTCTGAAATTTAGATTTGGGATTTTGTTCAGGCACATTCTAAAGATATAGTTGTGTCAGTGATAAGGTTGCAGTACTGGTTCTTCAAATATTCCCCACCAAAGCTTGGGGGCAACTTGAGGTAAAAAAAATCAAAGCTCATTTGAAAACTGCAGGGAAATTACAAAGATTTCAAAGCAATGCAAAATTCAGCAGCAAGCACAGCCAAACTACCACCCAGCAAAACAACCTTCAAAACATTCTGCATATTCAAAGACCTTGTAGGTTTTGCTCATGTTGGACATCTTCCCAAGAGTATCCAGTGAGTGGGGAACGGCAGCACTCAAGAGAGCAGGAAAGGCAAATCAGGAACACGCACTCACAAGGCAAAGTGCCTGCAGCCAAGTCCAGCTGTAAATTTGGACAGCTGACATTACAGATGTCTTCCCGTTGCCCTGTTGCTAAGAGTGGCTGTTCTGAAAAGACAGACTGGGACAGGTCAGTGGGCACACACAAAACACTGCTCAGACACCCACTACATCAAGGCATGAGGCTGAGTTACTGGTCACCATTTAAGAGATTGAACTGGTGCCGTGTCAATAAACAAACATAAAGGAGATGGCAGAAATCCTTATCCCTTTCCATCTCTTCCGTTTGCTGCTGATTTTCCCGCTGCCCCAATTCTGAGCCTCGGTACCAAGCCCTGAGGTTTTAAAGCAGCAGAGCAGTGAAGAAGATCGCTGGTCGGAATCAATGCTAGGGTCAATTTTACCTCGATACATTATTGCCTGTTCCAGGGAGGAGGGGGAAGGCAGGTTGAAGACAACAGCTCTGTATCAGCAATCGCAAACCCACATCAGCCCCCAGGGTGTAAAAGGCTGAAAAGTTTCCTGATAACAGAAGGCAGAGCCTACAACAAACAATGTGGTATTCCTGCCTGGGAGGCACAAATTCTCTCCATCACCTCCAAGCTTCCCGAGCCCAGCCGCCCACCAAAACAATTACATTATAAAAACTGCTGAAACCAGAGCTTTTTGAGGAGGCCAGTCACGAAGTCACAGCACAACAAAAAAGTAAGCGGGGAGTGTTGTAGGGGTGGGAGCCCTTCTTCCCATAGTGGCTGAATATTGGCGTGTATTAAATATAGACACAACAATAAGCAATAAATCACAGCCCAGGAGAAGTGCCAGGTGGAATGCACAGGAGGAAATTAAAATATCCTTCTTGATACTGTTCAGGATTGAAAGAAATACAAAGGAGGTCAAATTGACTTATCACCTACGTAGCCAGGATGCTAAGGGGAAGAAGGGTTCCAACACTTGCAGAGGAAAAAAATGCAGTTTAATAATTTCCTAGACAAAAAAATAAAACAACAAAAAACCCCACTTTGCCGAAAATGTAATACTAATATCGTAAACATCATCTTAAACAAATAAATAAATGATGAAATTTCTTGGATTTCCTACTTTTTTCCTACTTTCTTCTTTTTTCCTTCCTTTTTCCAAATACACAGTCCCTCCACAAAATTCATCAGCAGGGCAAAGGGTCCTTTGCAATGTACACAAGAACTCTAAATGGCCAGCACCCAAATTCAGCAAATTCTGACCTCCCATGCCACATCCCACCATGCCATCCATACACCCTATCTTGTGTACCTTGCTACTGCCCCGTGGCTGGGTTTTGCTAATTTCTATTATGAAACTAGTCAATGGAGGCAAAATTTGAGTCTCCCAACCCTGAAGAACTGGGCTGTTTTCTTGCTTCACTCAGAAGCAAGAACAATTGCCTCCAGAAAGTTTGATTTATTAAAAAACCATCACTGGCACACAAAATTCCCAGTAATTTCAGCTAGGACTCAGTGCCATAGAGTGCATAAAACTGAGGCTGCTTTTGTTCTCCAGCAGGCAAGGGAACCTCTCTGACAATAGGTTTGTATTTTGCTGGGATAAGCTTATACAAGGCTGCTCTGCAGCCTCCAGTACCTAAATATGGTGCTCCTGTGAAATACCCCATCCATCTGCTCTCCAGTCACTGCTTTTTTCTTTCTTACCCCATTTTAAGGCAGTTCAGCAAACCACCAACATTTGAATTTTAATGGGAGTGTCATACAAAGTACTTGGGCAGGCTGAAAATAGGACAGCATCTATAAATTACTGGAAATCTGAACTCAAGATTAGGAAAGGAAAGGAAAGGAAGAACTCATTTCTCTTGAAACTGGATCATATATATGTATACACACATAAATATTCTCAGACTGAGACTATACAGGACAGCCTGGAAAGGACTGCTGTTATGATCTACCTTTTAAAATCTCTGTTTTTAAGGGCTGAGGACAGGATGGCACTTTCCAGCTGTGGTTTTTTCTTACTAAACACTTTTATGTCTGTCTGTTTCAGACATATGTGGATTTAGTACAAGATGGTATATCAACTCTACCTGTTGAAAATAAAATTATGGTGACATTTTCTATATCAGTTTTTATGGCAAGAGAACAGGGACATCTTGCAGTAGACCATGGAAGAGGGAACCCATTTAATTGGCTAACAAAATCCTTCCTCTTGTCTAGCACAGGGGACATCAGTTTCACACAAAACTCTTACAGAGGCAAGCAAGGTAAAAGTATGAGAGGAGAAGTATTTTCAAGAGATGTAAACAAGTAAATGCCCACAGCACCCAGTGAGATTATTTGAGCATCTGTCTCAAACAGTTGCTATCACACTCTTTCACCTGCTTAAATGGAGAGGCATCGTTAGGATGCAAAAACCTTCAACAGTTCTTTGTGGAGGACAGCTCTGGAGCCAAGGCAGACAATTAGAAAAAGTAATTTTTCCTACTCCCTTTATAAGGTATAGTCAAGGCACAGAATCTATCCAAGTGTAGGAAGTGTCACACATAGTTGAGATGAACTATTGATTTCCAAAAGCAATAACAAGTTGCCACACAGCCCAGCCCTGCCTCATCATATGTTTGAGAGGTGATGACTCGGATAAGCAAGGAAAGGCTGGCTGCAACCCAAATCCAGAAAGCTTCAGCCATACTGCCAATATGAACCACCAGGAAAAACACATGGACTTAATAAAAAGCAACACTATAATATGAAGTTAAAAAAAAAAAAAAAAAGTAAGTATTTTAAGCCCTTCCTTGGTAAACATATGATTAATTTCTGAGGAGGATTAATTAGCATTTACAAAAAAAAAAATAAATTAAAAATTGCTTATCCTCATGGTTCTTGTCATGCATGTATCTACCAGGAGATGCACTTCAGCAGTGTTTTTTGTCTCTCATTGATGAAACAAAATATCTTCTAAACTGAATCAGACAGGAACATGTTACCCTGGTGTTTTTTTCTTTAACCAGAAGTGGGGTATATTAGAGCTGTAAATTACTTACCCTTCTGTTCTGTACATGGAGCATCTCTCCAAAGGAATTTTTAGCACTCCATTATTTAGACCCACAAAGAGTGACCTGTCGCTGTGTAGGATTTGGAGACTCTTGATTGCTTCCTGTTGTCCATCAGGAAGGATCTGCATTTCCTCCAAATAACAACTCCTCAGACTTCTGTTAGTGGTAGAAAGGGCCTTCAAGATGGTGCCATATTCTAGTAGAACAAGAAACAAGGCACAAGTAAATCTTGGAGGCAATGACTTAGTTTCATACCTGTCTAAAGAGTGAAATATTAATTTCATCTTTACAAAGTTGATTTAGCCTAGTTCTGGATCACCTGCTGCCCATGGCAGAGAGCTCCAGTTACATCACTACAATCCTCAGAAACCACCTGAGAATGCACTTAGATGGGAATTCAGAAGGATGTGAACCATCTGGACAGTGAGTACCTGGCAGTTTTTCCTGGTTGGAGCACTGAGGCAGAGGGGTCTGGTCCCATTACCAGTGAGTTACAGAGCAAGGTAACCCAGGATAGCAAGAATAATTGCTGGTGCTTTGAGTCTGTATTTCTATTGGTTTATAGAGCAGATCAGTGTGATTTGACGTCATGACAAATGACAACAGATGCAGCAGCCCTGCTGGAAATCTCTGAGGCCTCCATAATGACTGCATGGGTCACAAACCTAATTGATCCTCTTCCTGGAAGAAGCCAGCTTGACAAGGGGATGCTACAGCATACACAGAAACATACATGTTTGTGCTCACAGTGCTCTTACCTAAACAATTTAAAGAGCTGCTAAACTGTGGGAGATTAATGCACACCACTTTTCATTAAAACCCTCAAGAGGTCTGTCGGCCCAATTGTTCCTGAAATTTATCTTTCTGTTCCAGTAACTTCTGCAGTGGTGGCAAAGCTCAGCAATTTATAATGGTGGGGTAGGCCACCGTGCAAAGTTTCCCTTTCATTTACATGTGGAACAAGACTGAAGTTTAGGCTCAGTTAGTCTCAGGACTGGGTTTGTGTTCAGGGCTGCCTCTGGGCAGGGCTGTCTCTATTTGAGCTTTTCACAGGTTTAAACATTTCCAGCATACTCTTCAGCTACCACTAACCTGGGCCATAAAGTAAACATAAGTATCTAAGGTTATGGCATTGGACCTTTCTACACTAATGATACAAGGCAGGAAGTATTCCAACTTTCTGTAAGGCTTTGTGGAACCTCGTTTTAAGTAACTGTAAAACTCCTCACTTTAAATATCAAGATATCATATTGGCAGAATCATGTTGCATTTCCATTTAAGTACAACCTTCTCATCAATGTTCATGGAGTTCCCATACTGGGAGTGTTGCTAGAACATATAAATAATAAACCAAGCTGATCACTTTTGAAATAAGTGGTGGTAAAATTTAGATAAATTATGACACAGTCCTGAAGGTCCATTCTCCTAAACACGAGAATGAGGCAATGACTCTGCATTCAGATGTGAGATTAAATTAACACTTATGGAAGCAATCCATCTTATTCTAAAGTCAAAGCTTCTGCAATAGAGGATAACAACATTATACCCATGAGGCTGGCCATATGCTTTGATTAATCAAACCATTTAATTTAACCTCTATCATTAGTATGAATACAGGCTAAGACAACCATTTATAACACTTTGTCCTTCTTCAGCATCTTCACTTATCCAAGATACCTGCGATTTTCAGAAGAGGCAACATGTCCTGCTAATTAGAGGATGGAAGTCAAAATCAAGAGACTAAATCATACACTTAATTCTACCACTGGCTTGCTATGCTCCCACAAAAAAGCACTTGCCTCAGCTTCTCTATCTGCTTTAAACTTCAGTGCATGCCCATTCCCAAAAGCACTGTGAGTCATACACCAGTAGGGACGTGGAAGTGCAAAGAAAAACATAATTAAATCCCTGGGCAAACCTGGAGGTTATGCATTATTATCGCTTATTCAGAGATGGGTCTGTCATAGCTCTGAGAGGCAACTGACATGCATGAAACCACAGAGCATTCCAGCGACCTCTGCTCTTCCCCAGTGTTATTTATTAGCCTTATTAGTTGAAACATGTTTTTATAAGAGGGAGAAAAATGTTATTGTTCTTTTTAAACACAATGGAGATTTATAGTCTGATCACTTGGGACTCTGCCTCAAGTCCTCCATCCTGCCTTTAATTTACTCAGGCAAACAACTTCAATGCTGTTTTGTACCAAAATCATATTGAATGACAACTGTGTAAGGACTTCACAACCAGGCTTCCAGGGCTGCTAGGTCTACAAGCAAGCAGGAGGAACTGTTTGAAACCCTCATGCTCTTACCTGTTCCAATATACATGACATGGTAGAGAGTATCCTTCCCCTGAACAATATCAACCACCAGTTTGGAAAATCGAATGCTGTCCTGAGTCACATACGGATCCACAGTCACTGGCTGCACCACATCATTCATCAGGAACAAGCGCTGTGCATCCTGCAGGACTCTCTCCGTCAGGTTCTCGTTAGGGCTGTCATCGTTCAGTGTCCCACACTAAATATGGAAGATTGAATTTCAGAAAGTGCATCTTCTCCCCAGCTCAGCATGGAAACTCATGTTCTGTTGATTTCCTGGGGAGGTGGGTCTGTGTGAGGGTCACAGGATTAAGCCTGATCACAGGTCCTTAGCCTAGATTTGGCCTGTAGACCACTCTTTGAAAACTTTTCTCCTAGGTGGTCCACTGACCAGCAATGTTTAACAAACCACGGAGAAAAAGAAAGAATTAAAATTAGATGTAGATAGATTTTAAGGTAGCAGTGGAGAGAAAGTTCTTGTGGTTATAAATCCTTGAAACATTTCAGACAATCTTCAGACTCTACCTAGCAGCTCAGTCTGTACAACCTGGACTTTTAAAAAACCTGAAAACGGATTGGTTTTGCATCAAAGAACCAAACTTGCCACACTGCTTTTCTTTAATGTGGACAGGCCCCCACAGGTGCATCTGAAGGAAGGCAGGTTAACCATGAGCTCCCCCCACCCTCTTCTCTCCTGACAGCAAATGCCATATCAAGCCATGACTACCCATCCTCCAGCACCAAGAGAGGCACTGAAACAGGGCTCAATTCCCCAGCAAGAACAAGGGAGTAGAAGAGCTTGTCTTGTGTCTTTTAAACAGCCTAAGTCCTACCAGGTGGATAATGCATTTTAAGGCCTGAATTTCCATCTTAGATTAATCTCTAGAACTCAGTAGCCAGTGCTAGTTTTTGTTCCAGTAGCTGAGGCTGGATCTCACTCTTCCCCACAATATCATGCATGGATGGCAGAAAATTTATTAGTCCAAAAGGCAGCAGGATGACTGGCTATTTATCTTCCCAAGACCATGGGAGAACAGTGGTACAACTAAATTCTGCCGAGTCTCATACTCAGTCTACGAACAACTTCACTACTCACTAAATGGAACTCACACCTGAGCAATTTCACTAGACATAAAATCCCACACATTTCTTTTTCTTCATTTTGGGTCCAGATATTTGGGCTTTCCTTGAAGAAAAGTCAAAATACTGAGGATTAGGATGTTGGTTTACAGCACTTGAGCTGCAATGTACAAATTTCCCATGTGCACACTCTGGATACGCATCGCAGCAACTCTTGGTGGTATTGCTGCCTTTCCCAGGTGCACCACACAGCCCTTCTCCTACTATGTGCTAAAATGAGTTGTCAGGGATTTAACACACATTCACACAGTAAATATGGATTCCAGTGGCTGGTGTACTAAGCCTTACAATATTCTAGATGTTGTGGGAGCTAGGAGAACACAGCTATTTTAATTCTCACAACCTATGAACATGGTCACTTTTTAATCAATTTAAGCATCTTCCTGAATATCCAGACTAAAGAAACATCAGTGGGTTTTTTATGTATCCTCAGGTGGGTTTTAATGATTTTTTCTATTGCAATGGTCTGTTTTTTAGTTCATGACTCATCCCACATTTTAAAGAGTTCTTAGATCTTGTTGTATCCTATACTCCTCGTTCACACCACTGTCTTCCTTTGGATGCTTTTCTCCCCATTCACTTTCCCTTCTAGAGCATCACCTAAAAGGAGTCCCAGTGGCAGGAATGTCATTGCTGGTTTTGTTTTCTGTTCTCAGCAAGTCACAGATAATTCTTTTGGTCTATTGGCAGCTCATGTGCTGACGCAGCATCCCTCTGGTTTGGTTTAATGTTGTTTTGTTCTAATTTCCTGATTATCTGTACTGTCCTGGTCTTCTGCATCCTTCAGTATTTCTCCTTCCTCTCTGCAAGAAAAAAAATTCTGGCATGCTTCCCTCATCTTTCTTTGTGAACACTGAGGCAAAAAAATTAATTTAATGTTTCTGCAATATCTGCCTCTTCTGTCATTAAATTACCCTTGTCATCTCCTTAAGGCTCCTTACTGACCTCTTGTTCCTTCTGTACTTGAAAAATATCTTAATCTCTTTTTGCAATCTTCCTTTTGTCTACCACATACCTCTTTTCCTTTCCTTATTTTCCTCTGACCCTTTTCTTTCATCTTGCTGCTGCAGTCTTTACACTCCACATTTTATCTGATATTTTTCACTACATGGAAATGCCCTCCAAAATCCTTTACTATTCCTTTCCAAAGTCCTTTACTATTCATTTTGGGTTAACCTAGCAAGGGATAGAAAGTCCTTGATCCTAATATTGATGATTCTAGTCCTATGATTCTAAATATTAAGTTTCCCTTAATATTTCCTTTATACTCAAAAAACACCCAAGAACAAGCACAACAAAAACCTGGCTATGTTTGGCATGGCTGGGCCTTCAGCAAGGCTTTGCTTCTTGGTTTTGAGTGCACCAAGCTGAGAGGATGATCAAGAGGCCAAGCCTGTCCCACCTTGTATGGGCAGGAGCACTCAGGTGCCAAAAGGGAATTCAGGAGGAGAAATGAGGTTTCTCAGCAGGAAGACAAGGCTGTCCCTGCCTGCAGCAGAGACCTGCCTCCCATCTGCTCTTGCTGTGATTTCAGGGAACTGTAGAGCTCTTTTTGGAAGGTCCTTGACATCACCAGTTTGAAGGCAGATGGCACTTGCAGGCAGCCTCAGCACATTTGCCATAATAAAGGAGAGCCAGATTCAGACAATTGGGCTGAAAGGATTTGCCATGGGAAAGAAAGGACATGAAGACAAGTCCATCCTCCCTAGGATTCCCCTGCTGGGAGGAGGCTGAGCTGTAAAATGGGCTTGTGCTTCAGAAGACTCAGGTTTGTTGGGGCTGTCCCACACATACTCTTCCCCACACTGACTGGATCTGGTGATAAAGCAACTGAAGCTGTTTTATAATTTTTGAAATTGCTTTAACTGATAATCCTGGAAAATTGCTCATTCATAAACTCAAAGATTTTTAAAAGGAGAAGGAACCCCTGTGACAATCCTCATGTGTCCCCTTCCACCAGTTACTGTGGCAACATGTCTATGGCTTTTGGCTGAGCTACCATGTGTTGTCATCCATCTTCCACTGAAGCACTTGTAGCCTTAGGGGCCCTATCAAGCGATGGAAAATTCATCACTTCCTTACAGAGTCACAGTGGTTAATTACCCTTCTTGTTTAAAAAATATAGGTTGTATCCATTCTAGTTTGACTTTGTCCAGCTTCAGCTTTCAGTCCTTCCCAGTTCTAGTAGGGACATTTCTTATGTCCTCTTGTGAGAGTCACATCCTCAGAGTACATGTGTCAGTGATAAGTGCAACAGAGATTTTTATAATTCATTATTATAAAATATCCAGACCATTCTTATTATTCCTTAAACCATTCCATTTTTGCCATGAATTCTGTGGCAAGGAGTTCCACAGACTAAAACACTCATAAATGAGGAGAAATATAATTTATCTCTACCATGGATCTGCCTGAAAAAAGGAGCCCTACATAAATCAACCCACTGAAGTGACAGAACTTCAAAGGGACTGCAGTAAACTGAAGGGCAACAGCAGTACCTGGAAATTAGGGATGGGGTTTAACGTTGGCAGCCAGGCTGATCTTGGGTTTTCTTGGTAACGGAAGGGGCCATTAAATGCCTGAGTAATGGCACTCAGATTGAAGGCACACACTGCTGAGGCAGCTATGCTGTTTCTGGAAAAGGGGAGGGAAAAAAAAATCAATTTAATCATTAGAACATTGACATTTTCATCATAACAGACATCAAACTCCACTCAAATAAAATACATGTAAATTGCTAGGTAGATGAACAGTGATACCAATCTCACAGGGAGTAAAAATAAATAAATAAATAAACAGTAAAATGCAGAGGACTTGTGTAACAAATTTGAGAATGAATTTTAACTTTGGTTTTAAAATGTCAGAGATTTAAGGGCCATGGAAGCAGTTCTGACAAGAAAGGTGAATACAGTTTAATTTGCATGGATTATTGGAGTCTGGCTTTATTTTTATTTTTTTAACAACCCATCTACCTTTACTGATTACAAACAAGTTAATGTTTCATCTTTTGTTGTTTCTCAAGGTGAAATTCTGTTTCCACTGGTTCCTGAAATCTTCAGCTATAAAATATATCACCTAATATTAAATTTATATACATGCAGTGGAAGGGAAAAGGCGACAGTGACAAACCAGCTGATTCTGACAACAGCTCAGCATGTCTTGCTAATTCATGAGAACCTCTATTTTCAATGACCACATTTCACTTCTGTGTGTTCCCAGGTGGGAACAGGATCTGTGTGGGGCAGACTGTTCACCAAGCATGTTCAGCCGGGGGAGGCACAGCACGGTGAGGGAAATGCTGCTGTGGGAAGGACTCTTTGGAAAGGAATGTGCTTTAAGGATGCTGGGCTGCCTAGTCACACTGCACACACATCAGCTGGCCTTTGCTGCTCCATTTCAGTCCTGGAGGACCCATTTCTGCAGGGTCCTGAGCCAGCTCATCTCCTCCTCCCTCCAGAGGATTGGAGGGCATTTCTAGATGGTGACCTCAACAAAACTGACCCAGAGGGACATTTGATAAGTGATGACCTGAAATTCAAACCTGCTCCCAGATCTTCCCTTCCCCCACACTTTTTTTTTTAGGAAAACAACAAGGTTTAGAGAAAAAAGATATCAAAATAAAAGTTAAAATAGGGCCAGCATGAGAGACTGATTAGTCATGGTGCCTTTTAAATAACTCAAGCCCTGCTGTATGTATCTTTCTGCTAATTAAGGCAATTTGAATTCCCTGAAAAGAAATTTTTTTTTTTTTTTTAAACTAAACCAATAATTACACTCTCTTGCACACACAAAAAAAAAGCCTTTATTCACCATTTCAGGCTGGAAAGCAGAAGAACAGATTCTTTCACAGCATATTTCTTCTTAGCAATACAACATCAGGAAGAACTTCCTGCTTTGCCTTCCCATTCTCTGCTCCCCCCTGCCCCTTGCAATCCCAGAATGATGGAGTAGCTCACTTTGAACATGTCAAAGCAACGCCAGGCAAACCTTTCTCCACTTTTGTCTGAACACTGCTGATGCAGTGCATGCTCACAGACAGCAGCTCTTAAGACAAACCTAATGATGGATGACAAGTAAATGCCTTGAGGCGCACACAGGAAAAAAAAAGACAATGAGGGAGAAAATGAAAAAGGAAAAGAAAGAATAAAATTCCACTAGTCTAATGAAAATACTTAGGGAAAAAAAAAAAAAAAAAAGGATATTTTTAGGGCCCTGCTAAGGACTTCATAGTTTAACCTTTTCTCTTTGCTGGAAAGGAGAAAGGAAAGTGGTTTTCCATTAAATCTGTGGACCATTTTCTTTTCCATCTGTGACCTGGCATATTTCCCATCCCTCCTTATGAAGTTTGATCCCAGTCTCAAGCCAGTGACATCAACTGGTGCAGCTGGGCCCTGTGTTTTTGTGTGAAGTGCAACTTTCTTTATTCCCACCTCCTACCTCCTGTGACTAACTAGTTGATTTAAAGAATGGGTTAAGTTCAAAGAGGTTTTAACATTGTCTCTATTACCTCCTAGAAATTTTTAATAAAAACATCTTAAATATTTCATCAGCAGCTTCCCCCAAAAGCTCTCTTTCCCACTGATTCAGCTGGGTATAACATAACATGCAATAAATCTATACGTGGGTGTTACCACCACCACTAATTCCCCTTTGTTATAAGATGACCCTAAATTCATTAAACATGAACCTTCCAAAGCAGAAAGTACCTGTAAACACCAGCAATAAAAAAATCATAGTTTTGTGTTGCATTGGCATTTTATCACAAAGAAACTCAGACTGGTGCATAAATTAACCCTCCTTGGTATGCAGAGCTCATGCAGCATGATATAAGTCCCAGTGAAAGTTAAAAGAATAATTACCATTATTTCTCTAGTCGGATGACAAATTGGAATATTTTCTCTCTTTGAACTTTTAAAAGAACACCATGTTGTAGACCCAAAATGCTATTTGATCTAACTTCAGCTGTTATCAATTACTAATTCCTTCAATTACACAAATGTTGCATATTATATTATCTTCAGAAGATACAAGAGAGATTCTACATCCCTGATGTACAGAGAATGCTCAAGTGTACCCAAGGAGACAGGTAACACTCATCACATCTCATGTTAAATTTGGAAGATGGACACAGTAGAAGAGAACTGCTCTAGCCAGAGCTAGTCTATGTCTCCCTCTTGATTGTCCAAAAAGTCACCAATTTGATAAATAAAATACAGTTATTAATATTTTTCTCGTTTTCAACTTCCATTCTTGGCTGGATGAATGGACAAATAGATAGATAAAACATTATCACTAAGGGCAAAGAAGTCCTCTCCGACAGCAAAAAACAAACAAAAAAAAAAGGGTCAGCTCAAGTGCCCAAAGCAGTAGCCAGATTTCCTTTTAATGTTCAGTAAGTTTGGCTAATATCCTCTAAATATCCTCATGTGCCTTTCAATCTGAGGACAGATCTTCCCCAAGTCCACAGTCAAGGTGCAGTGCTCAATCATGTTTATTTTTTCTAGGTGCTTCTCTGTTGGCTCACTTTTGACTGACATTGGCAATGGTGGAAGAGAAACAAAACATGGAAGAAGGATGAAGGTGGCCATGAGGGTACATATTTCTTGGAATTTACAGAGGGGGAAGAACATTCAGACTCTTAGTGAGGCTCCCCAACAGTGCTTTAGCTCAAGAAGCTGGGGCTGATGCTTTGTGACTTCAAGGGCTGAAGTTCAAGGCCTCTCACACCTGCAGGTGACACATTAAAACAGGAAGGTTTGTACTTCAGTGGGGCTTCACTTGTTTGGTTTTCTGTGGGCTCCCTGGGAACAGGCCTTTATTTATTGGGCAGTACAGCCCTGCACACAAAGCCAAAGAAGTTGGCTGCCCCGCACGAGGAAGGCACATTTGCCATATGGAGTAACTACCCAGATTTTCATTCTCTAGTTTACACGTCAGGCTAACACCCCCCTGGAGTACATGTATTATTGAAACTCAATACTATGCAGACTGGTTATAGCTTGAAACTTATCATCCTAGCCTTAGGCATCAGAGAAAAAGTTATTTGAGTTTTCCTGACTTAAAAATATACATTATGAGTTTTTTAATATATTTTTTAATTAACTCCTCTTTTCCGTTCTGCTTTCACAGCTACACTAAATCATTCCAATTACAAGTTTTTTCAATATCAAGCCAAGAAGAGGTGATTATGAAGTACCAGAAATCATACCTTCCCCTCAGAGTTCCAACACTGCTTTTGATTTGTGGACCTCAAACAGTCTGTGGCAGAGGTAAAGCCTCCCTGCCTTGGAAATGCTAAATGCCTTGTGGCCCTCATGACCTTGCTATTACAGTGTTCAACTGCAATAGATGTTGTTTTCAGTCTAGGCTGTTGTGATCCCATCTGCCTCATTATTCTCCTTCCAGCCCTTCTCTCCCAAGTTTGTGCACCTGTCCATCTTATGGGCCAGCTCCAGTGTTCACACAATGGTATCAGATTGTCCAGGCAATTAGCCTGGCTGGAAATTAATGTGCTTCTGTTGGGTCATTTTTAGATCATCACTCTAAGCTACACAAGTTGCACTGTCCCTACAAAAAGTCTGAAGCCTGTCAATGCCCAGGTTTATATCAAATTAAGTTACCCCAAAACTCCACAGTCACTTTTTATGGACTCCAGGAATCTGTGAACCATGGATTAAAACCACTGTCCTAGAGGCTATGTTGTCACATTGGATAACACAGACCTATCTATTCTTTCACGTTTACCAAATGATCTTCCAAAAACTGTTGCTCAGACTGTTTAAGAAATCAATATCTTGTCAGTCTCAGAATGATGGGGATAGAGGAAGGGCAGTAAAGCCAGTGCAACTTACACATTAGTAGTGAAGACACCGTAGATCAGATCTTGCTCAGGAAGGTAGAAGGTGCTTTGCAATTCATTGTAATAGAAAGGGATTTCTCCAGCACGGGAGCAGTTCAGTCTGGCCTTCATGAAAGTTGTCCATGTGTCCTCCAGCAAAAATCTCCCTCCAATATCATTTTTGCAAACCCTTGCCACACGAGAATAAACTGTTTTCCCACAGTCATGTTCCACCGCGTTCTCACGGAAGAAGAAGTAGGTGAACAAGCCGATGTCATAGGCAGCAATAAAGTTAGGCTCTGAAAAACAAACATTTGAAGAGATTTATACAGGTTAGAAATCAATCTACGCTCACTGACTTGCTCAATGCATTGTGCTGCCAGCTCCATTTATGCAGCCTGTCAAAGCTGGGACCACAGGGAGTTTGGAGTCAGCAGAGGACATAAAAACTGTAGATGGGAATAATGATATATGAGGATATAGCTCTAGTACCTTTTTTCAGATCTTGGAAAGGCCCCATTGTTTCTCCACTTTATTGGCAAAGCTGCTACTGATTTCAGTGAAAGCAGAGTTCAGCACTTTGCATATGCATGACTATTCTCTGTACCTATACTCATTTTACAAGAAAAAGCCTTCCCATTGGGCTGCTTCACCTATTCACTTTTGAAGTGGACCTTGTGATGTGTTTAATATGCTGCGTGCATCCGCCCAATTCCCCAGACAACTGCACTGAACCATTCAAGCTACTCTCCCAGCACTGTCACATCTGGCTTTTATCATGAAACCTTTCCAGTTTCTAGGCACAAAAGATTATCTTATGTCCCTAAAACAAAACCATGCCAGAGACTGACAGTAGTGAAACATGCTCTCCTTAATGCTTTTTCTCCTGAAATTTTCAGTATTATTTTCACAAAGTGTTATTTCACAATAACTTTGAATTTAGTAGGTTTAGTAATAAATATTTTAATTGGGGATATAACAAAGCTTTAAAGTGTATAGTCTTTTATCCTAAAAGTTTCTTTGGTAAAAGGAAAAGTTTGGCCAATGAATAATATTTGACCAAACAAACCTGTTGGTTTTATAGGGTGTTTTCACAATGTTCATTTCTGAGTAGTGCTAAAAGGAAAGTACAGAATTCCTTTAACGCTGCAGCCCAGTAGAGAAAGGAGAACAGAGAAAGGCAGGCCACTGGTGCTGCAAGGCAAGTTTGGGAGGCAGATGATGGTACAGAGGGGAGGGCATTGCAAATCATCTTCTCTCAAACTTTCTCCTTCAAACTAACCATGAACCTTAAAGTGATCATTGTAATCTCCAATCTGGTCCAATCTGACCTTTCTAACACAAGCAGAGAATTTTGCCCTGTAATTCCACTATCAGATCCTGTAACTAACAGGAGAATTAGACCACATCTTTCGAAGGAGATCCAGTATTAGCGGAGAATATCACCTGGCTTTACATTCATCACTTTCCTCAGTGACTTGTCCAAATGACTAAAAGATTGACCCAGCTGCAACCTGTACTTCTTTTCCCACTTGACATTATCTGGTTTTAGTTTCCAATCACAGGTTCTTGTCATGACTTGTCTGCTCAATTAAAGAACTTTATCCTTTCCAAAATCTTCTCCTGATGTAAGTACTTCTATATTATGAACAAAACATCTTTTATCTCCTTTTCAGAAGGATAAATAAATTGAGCTCCTTAAGTCTCTCACTGTGAAGCAGGCTCTCCAAGTTTCAAATCACTGAATGGCTCTTCTCTGAATCACCTTCAGGTTTTCTGTTTCTTGTTGAAAAGTGGCCAGAACTGGACTAAATTACTCCAGTGCTACCAATGCTGCACAAGGTTATAAATCCAAAAGTCACATTAGTCTTTCCAGTCACATAAGCAAACTTCAGTTTCTGTTTGTCTTCCTTAAACTCTCCTGCTCCAATGGGGCTTCCTTCTGAATCTTGTATTCACGCAGACAAGAGGAATATGTTTCCAGTGAGTGTATATGGGCTATGATGCTTCTTGGTCCTAATTTACAGTCTTTCCTGATGACATCCTTTTCCTTACGCTCCAGGTCTCCATCCTGACTTTGGTATGCCTGCAGGAAGCCTAGTTCAGTCTTATTAAGCTCCAGAGAGTGCACAGTCCCACTGCTCTTATCTTTAATTGAAAGGTCCTGAAATCTAATAGAAAGATTTCAAATATATGGTCAATTTACCTGGGTAAAAGGAGACAGAGGGAATATTGGGGTCTCCATCACTACAATCTGCTCAGACTAGAAGTGCTTTGCCCCAGTTGGAAGGTGTGGACTCCATGCAGGAATTACTGGTTGAAATTCTATAGCTTGCTGCAGGGTATTATCACTGGGGTAAGAGCTGCTTTTAATAACTACAAATCCACATCAGCATGGACTCACATGGAACATAATGTGCTGTGAAATTTCTCATTTTTGGAGTGATCTTGCACTGAAACCAGGCATCTTCAGCTGAGTCAGTGGAAGTAAAGAATGCCTATTACTCTGCAGAACTGGGTCAACAATATGATGCTTTAAGTTGTTTTGATCTTCAAATCTTTGAGTGGTTTTCTTGTTAAAATGATGTATTTGGTCATCTCACAAGACAGAGGCCCATATATATGTTAAGTAGCCTGTAAGACCCGCTTTCTATATTCTAAATCAACTTTTCTGAAATAATTCCAGGCTCTTTTTAAATGTCTTCTAAGCTGCATTGATTATTGCTCCGGAAGCCCTTCCCCATCATAACTCTGGATCTCAATATGCAAAGAGAGAGAAAGATTTACAAGCCTGTCAAGCTGACTTTAATATATCTCTTGCTCAGATGTGACCCACATGACTTTACCATTGAGCCATTTGGAGTTGTATTGTGCTGTCCTAAGTGGGGGAACATTTCCAAGGCTGCGGTAAATAGCAGGATCCCGTCCAGAAAAATCAATCACAGTTGCAGCATAGAGTTCTCCTCGTGATGTAATCACAGCTGTCGAGTTGTGCCGAGGGTCGTACGGGCACCGAGCCACTCCATTAATTCTGTCAATGATTTTGCTGAGATTTCCTACCTGTGTTTAAAAGGAGAGAGAAGAAAATTTAAAGAGCATCTGACTTTCTTAATAGTATAAGGAATTTGGTTTGCCCATTAATATCTACGAGCAAATCCCTGATTTTTAAAAATCAGGTAGCTATGAGAATGTAATCTTAGTGATGACTGAAAATTGATCTTTACAGCCATCATTTGCCAATGTAAGAAGTTGTGTCACTGATCCTATTGCTTTGTACAAAGGGTGATTCCCCAGCCAATAAGGCCCAAATCCACTTGGTGTAATCAGGTGCTCCTGGCACAAGCACAGGTTTTTAATCTTCCAAAGACACCTCCTAAATACTGGCCTTAACAAAAACATACAAATAAACAGTCCTCTGGACCTGCTCCTGCCTTGCCTGAATACAAAGGGAGTTTTGCTATTTATTTTAAAGAAACTTTTAAGTATTCAGCTCAGGAGGTACTCACAGCTAGGCTTGTCTATATTCCCCATTTTCAGTGTCATACCCAAGGTTTGCATGAGCAGCACCTTGTCCAGACCAAACTTGCCCATAACATGAACTTTTTGTTCCCCAATTGCAGACACACTCATTGCCCCAAAGCAGCCAAAAGAAGAAAACCAACATAATTTCAGTCAGCTACATTTAAAACATATTTTGTGCAGCCATGATAGCCTTCCAAATGACTGTCCTTCCCCAGAGCATGTATCCAACCCTCTCTATCACTGTAAAAGAAGCAAAACAGACCTGTCGGCTGGAACACACTGGTGAAAAGGCATTGGTACCACAGGTAAAAACCTTCTTGCCATAAACAATCAGCACTCGGACATAGTTCTGGCACTCTTCCTATAGGGACACAAGACAGAGACAAATGATTTTTGAAGATTTTATTACATTAAAACTATACCTGTATTGCAGCAGGAATGCATCTTCCTTAGCTCTGACTTGGGCTGAGGTTTGCTGCCTCAAGCAGCGCACAGCTGCAGGGAGTCAGCAGTCTTAGTGAGCAAGCCCAATTTGCTGGTTATTTCTCTAACTGCAGCTCTGCACAGTCCTGGGGTAGGATGTTATCCATCAGGTCAATTTTGTCATAGCTACAAGAGCCTCTTTCTGTGCTCTGCTTAGATTGGAGGAGAAATTCTCCCTCTTTCCATGATGATACTTATGACCTATTTTCCCAGTAATGCCGCAGCTTTAAAAACATTACCCAGACACCAACTCCAGTGAAGGACAGCAGGTCTGTCTGCACTATAATTCAAACCAGTGTCAGCTGGAAAACAGCAGGAACTTCTCTTTAATAGACCAGGCTGGTCAGAGAACCTCATGCTTGAACAGGCTGTTATGTCCTGCCTCCCAGAGGACTGTGTGCTCAGGATTTTCCATGGTAGTAGGAGTTTCTCTTTCAGGCCAGGCCAGTAAGAAATAGCAAGTTCCCAGTCTTAGTTAGCAAGTGGTACCAATAAGCAACTCCCTCCACATGGCAGTCCCCAAAGGTGTGGCAGTCCTGCTGTCCCATGCTGTGCTGGGGTGGCAGTTGCCTTTTTGTTCAGAAAATCACCTTCATGTTGTTAGAGAGAGACATGGTCTCTTTGCTCACACAGCCTCATATCCAGAGACATGTGGAGTGCAGATCAGGCTAAGTGAGCACCTCTGGAGCTAAGTAGCAGGGGTAGAGGAGGCCACATAAGACAGGAACTTTCTAACAATACACACAGGAAAAAGGAGGTAAGAGACTAGTGTGCAATTCCCAGAGGAGGTGCAAGAGACTGCAGATCCCCAAGAATCACCCAAAGAGTCCCAATGAGCCACGTGCATCAGCCTGCCTGCCCTGGGCCCTGAGCCACCTCAGGAGAGAGGATATGAACAATGACTGGCACCCACTGGGCCCCAAGGGAAGAAAGTTTATTATGTTATACCATAAACAGAAAAGGAAACTTGTTAAAAAATAGCAGCCTCATCTGGGTTACCCAGGCTGCTTTGCTTTCTTCTCTCCAATAGATCATCATTTGCCACTAAGTTGAGCCTACAGCTGCAGACACCACTTCTCTCTCCTGTAAGCAGCAATCATTCAGCATGCTCCCACCTCACAGCGTTCCATGCTGTTGATCATTTCCCTGAAGACTTCATTTGCAACACTCATCAGTGTAAAAACACCCCCTATGATCTGGAAAGGAAGGGGCTTGCTTAGCTGAATTACACACTATCTTATTTCATTTGCTGTATGGAAAGGATTCAACATAGAAACTTGCCAGTGTTAGCCACATGGTATGTGATCCTTGCTTTTGAATGGCACAGACTGCACTCCAGAACCAGCCCAGGAACACTTGCCCAGCCTGGAAAGAGGCTACTGAGTGCCATAGATCACATGCTGCCAGACTTGAGGGGCAGCAGGAATCAGATACCCAATGACCAACACCCAAAAATGAGAGCTTAGATTCATAGCTGGGTAAACTCTTTTTATCTCAGAAGCAGATCAGTCATGGTGACTGTGCATCAGTCGATCAAACAAGACCTTGAGAAGCACTGTCCCACCCTGTGTTGAGAATAGTGGTCTCATTGCTTCCTTTAACAAGACAAAGGGCCTGCCAGCCTTTCTGCCCTCTGCTGTCATTGCTGCACGGTGCTGGGAGCCCTGTCAGTTCCTTCCTGCCCTAGAGATGTCTGCATTTCATGACTGAGTTAAGTAATTCCTCTTTCTGTAGAGTACAGTTATTCAATCCCACATCATTTTAGGACCACTATATATTTGACTGCAAAGTACTAAAAATGCTTGAAAGAATGCTGTTAAAAAAAGTATTAGGTCGTCTCCCAACAGAGTGTTGTTTGCAGAATACAATTGATTTGCCACCTAACCTAGAATGCAGTTCTGTACTCAAATTTCACACAATAAGAAAGTACCCACCTGCTCCCCCTCCACTGCCATCATTCTCTGCTTGGTGCAGAGCACAGCTTCTGACTGAAAACAGCTAAGACCAGGTATGTTGCTGGACCCTTTCCTGCCTAGCTACTACAATGTATTTCTAACTAAAGCCCAGCAAAAATCTTAAATCCTAATTTGGAGAATTCCCTTTATTTGCACAGAGCTCTATTACAGATTAACAAACTTAAATTTCTATAAAAACCTTCCTAGTTGAGAGGATAGCACACAAAAAGAATTTCTGTGGAAGGTCATGTGCTGCAGTCTCCTGGCAGTGGTGAATCTGTTGCACATTTTTTCTCCAATTTTACTTTGTAAAAATAATGCTGCTAGGTGTGGGCTGTGTCCACCTCTAGTTTTTCCTATGAGTTAACTGAGCAGGCATTTTCTTTTGACCTGCCTTAGTGATGATGGTAGCAGCACTCCATGCTCCTGGAGGAAGAGCAATGATAATATGCTCATTTCATGCACTGGTCTCAAGGCAATTTAAACACTTAATGTAATGTTCTGAAACAGATGCACATTGTCTGCCCTACTCTCTCAGCTGGGGGAATTGAAACAATGCAGGTGCTAAACTTGCTGTGGTGACACACTGGGCTACAGGACACACACAAAGGTCTAACTACCAGAGCACAGACCTCTAACCTGCCTGGCCCAAAGTGGAATACAGTGCTCACCTCGTGTTTCATATTGCTGTACCCATGGCCAGTCACGTCAGTCTATGAAGTCTCCAACAAAAGCAAAGGAACAATACCACTTAAATGCTCTAGTTTGCAGGATTTTTCTCAAGACAGTGTCTGGGAGATTTAATTAGATCCTCTTACTACCCCATTCTCAAAATAAATAGCAAGGAACAGCCTCCTCTCTGTGTTCTTTAAACCAGCCTGGATTTGCTCTGAAAAGTCATTCAATACAGCGCTCTCTGCAACAAGTCATAGCTGAGGCAACTGGTTAGTAAAATGATCTCACAAACCCCTACAGAAAATAGAAGCTATTTAATGCAGTTTCTTCCATGTGGCTGGAAAACTCTAGGCACACAGGAAGCAAAAATCAGATGAGCTGTAATATAAGCAGAAAATTTGGCAAGTTTGAACCCACTTCTGTCCAGACAAGACAATATTTGGATCCTGCTCTCACATTATGGAGCAGACAGTTAAATCTGTGTATGATCAGTCTGCAAATCTCATCACCAGAAGATATTACAGGGATCAAGAGATTAAGGTTTTAAATAAAGGGGGAAAGACTGCATATTTATATGGTTAATAAGAATAACTCAGTTATATTAGTTAGGATTATTATTAAATATATGGCACAGCTGATAAAAACCTGTGGCTCACCGCCAAAGAATTAAGCATATTTCTGATTTTCCTATGAATTGCATGTTACACTTTGAGGTTCTTTCCCCAAAATTACCTGGTACTCATCCCTTTATTGAGACAGGACCATAAATTTAGAAGGCATCACTTTTCTCCGGTCTAATGACCCTAGTTTTCAAGGAAGAAGTCATGACTTCTAATGCTCAGCACTACAAGCCACAGGATCTCACAGTCAGAACAAACTGCACAGAAGTCCCTTCCTGCCACGTCCTCAGTTTAAGCCTATTCTCATTTATTTAATTTTTTGTAGTATTTAGAATTGCTGTTCATGCACTAAGAATGCTGCATGTCCATGACTGTGGATAGGACCAAGTCTCTTTCTAGCTCACCGAGACATCAGGTTGCTTTGAGAGCACAATTCAAACCTGAGAAGCAAGAGTGGTGCCCTGTTACTGCCTTCATTCATGTGGACAGTTCAGCAAACAGAGGGGCTGATCTCCTGCAGCTTCCATTTGAGGTAAAATTCAAAAAGTTTCAGGTTGTTGCAAATAAGCAAGATGCTTCTTAGTTGTTTATTCTGTCATCTCTTAACACCAGAGTTCTAAAATGTTATAAACCCTTAATCTCATTGTACAGAGGCATTTTTCTTTTAAAGCATAGCTATATATAGGCACTACTTTAATGGCTCTCTAATTTAAATAAACTACCCAAGCTCTGTTGTCAGAGATCTCTTTTTTAATTATTGGTTAACACTATTTCATCACATACTGATATATTTTAGTTATACACTGTATGAGAAAAATAGCTGTTGCAGAGTCTGTCACGCTCAGTAGAGAAACACGGACTGCTTGAGCACAACCTGGAGTTCAGAGAATCAGCCAGCAGAACTCCAAGTTATACCTTCTATGACATTTTAGAGGACAGCAAACATTTAATTTATCTGCTGTAGTTTATCCCAATTTATTAAAAAATAATCAAGACCCAACTTTGTTCTTGAGCACTGCTGTTGATGCACTCTCAGACATCTGTATTCACTTCTTTGGACAAGCAATTCTGTTACTCAGTTTAAGCCAAGGCCCCAGCCAACCCTACCCTTCTCCTCTGAGTGGAACAGGTAGCAAAGAGAATTGCTAATGATTTTTTCCAGACAAATGTTCTTTAATAGACATCTAATCAAATTTATTTGGGGACCGATTCTGCATTGATAGCTTAGCAGAAGTAATAGGAATGTAGGTTCAGGTTTCTAGGAATAGCAGCAAAGGGGATAAAAATAGTTGATGGCCTCCTGGTTATTCCTGTTTCCCTGGGAATTTCTATGGTGCCTCTCCTACCTGGATTCCTATTATTCTTAATTGGTGTGGAGTTTCCCAGTTCCACCAGATAAGCAGATAAGCCTCCTCTGTGTGACACATAGCCACTGGAAGGCCTGAAATAACTCATTCCTCCTTTAGCTCAGCAATTTCTGTGCACCAATCCCATTACACTGGGCTGAAGCCTTGGGCTAGGATTTCCCTGTAACCTTGTGCATCCACAGCAACAGGACACCAGACAAAAGTGAAGGAAGAAGCTATACTGGCAATGCAGTGGGACAACCCAGCTGGATGCCTATCAGATATTACTCTCACTTCTTTCTTGCTCCAGAAGTGTTATTAGTACATCATCTTCCTCCTGGCTATACAAAGCTCTTAGGGCAGAATGTAAGGGCTGCCATTTTTCACTGTCATTTTCACAAAGGGTTTCTTTACACAGTTTAATATGATGATGTGCTGCTTTTGGAACATTAATAAATAATTTGGTGCTTAGACAAAAGAAAGACCAAAGTTCTAATGCTTAAAAAGCCACAATTTTCCATGTTAGGCAAAATTCCTTAGATGTGGTTGATGGCAACTGTTATGCAGAGACAAACCAATTACAAACTAGGAACTGAACTCCTAATGAAATTAAATACACCTCTTTCCCTTCTGCTCTATCCATCATTCATTTTAACTACAACCTCTGGATGATTTCATTTGGAAGACACAAAGAAAGGCAACATAACACTGACTTTGTTCTGTGCACTGTCTCAGTAATGTGGATGTTTTCCAGGGGACAGTTTAAAGATATTGATCATGCTACACTTTATAAATGCTGCAAAAACAAGAATGATTACTTGTGGAAGCCAGCGTGGCTCTCCAGAGACATGGTAAGAAAAGCATGCACACTTCTTTGAGGAAACCACAAGTTTTAGCTGATAAAAATAACATCAGTGAAAGAGACTTTTCTGAGGTGTTTGTTTTAGTATCACATGATATATTACAGAGAGTTAATTTTAAAATCAGGTTCAGGAACTTATACATTAAGTGATTAAAGTCTGATAAATTACTGTGATGAAAAAATTCCTCAAAGTGAAATTACTCATAAACTTGCTTGTTCTAGTGGAGCCCTAGCTGGGGTGGTACTAGCCCAGTATCAACATTTTTCTTAATAAACATTTAACCTAAAATTAAATAGTGGCAAAAGTTTACTTCTGAGGTCACTGAGGTCAATGAGAGATATAGATATAGATTAGATATAGATGATAGATAGATAGATAGATAGATAGATAGATAGATAGATAGATAGATAATGTGCCAGGATGGTTGGTGAGCTGGACCTTACAAAAAATACATTTTTAAAAGATATTATACATTAAAGAAAGAGGAACAAAAGGGCTTTATGTATAAGCAAGGAGATTACATCCCAAGAGTAATAACTGCGTAAAGGATTTCGTGGTCAGAGTGACCAGGCAATTCTGCACGATCTCCTGTGGCAGAGGGGCTTAAAAAACTGCCATGTATATGAACTGAGGAGGGTGGAAGGTTGTTTTAATCACACTCAGGCATTAGAGAGATTGACAAGGGAATACAGGTGAAAAACTGGAGCATGCAGAAAACAGACAAAAAGTATTCAAGGGCAGTAGAAAAATGACTTAGAGAAAGAAGCTTGGAGAATTCATCTTTTTTACTTTATCAAAAAGCCAAAGTACTGCATTAAAAAGAGCATGCAAGTGCTCTCTGTAAAATATAAATATTGGTAACTAAAGGGCTCTTTAATCTAGCAGAGAAGGGCAAAATGAAACACAGCCACTCAAAACTGAAGACAGATCCAAATAAAAAATAAAACATATGTTACCAGGGAAGGTGATCTGCCATTAGAATAATCCACCAAAGCTCAGGGAGCACATTTGCTTCAGGTCTTCAGTGCAAAACTTTCCATCTTTTTCAAAAAGGTACAGCAGAAAAACACAGGTACTGAGCTCAATTTAGGAATAAACAAGTGAAATTCATGGCCAGAGGTATCAGAAAAAATGGTATCTTCTAACCCTTTATCTGAGACACAGATTTTTCAGTAGGTACTCAAATGAGAAGTAGCTATTATATAATAATGATAATATTATATAATAATAATTGCACTTCCATGATATGCATTTTGTGGCTCTTATTCTTGTGCTTCTTATTTTTCTTAGGGTACAGCTGTGTGCATTTTAGGAAGAGAGTTTCTAAGCAGCAGGAAGTATCTTATTTAGCTACTCAACAAGCACAATAAAAAAGGCATTTTAATACATGAACTAGTTTTGAAAGCTTCACCTAAAATACATACATTATTAAATGGGCAAGGAAAATGTAAGTTTTATATAGTCAATGTAAGTCATGTAACTTAGGCAAACTACACTGTGAATTAATGCGAGATCCAAAGGTTCCCCTTATTTCTAGCCTCTATCACCATATATCTAAGTGCCTGTCAATCCTCAACATATTTATCATCAAATCATCTGTGCTGTGTAGAAACCTGCCATTAGTCAAGTTTTGGCAAAGCAGAGCTGAGGCAGACAGAGCTCTGCACCTTGTACCACCACTGCACAGCAGAATCAGAAGAGTTCACAATAGTGCTGCCCTCACCTGCTGCATTTACCCAGCCAAGGGCAGCGGTCCTGGGTCAGATCTGGGCTTAGCTGGAGTAGAGCACTTCATGAGCTGCCTAGACTGAACTCAGTAATTTTGAGCTGGTGCTGAGTCATTTTTCTGTAGTGCAACTAACAATGAATTTAAAGGGGGACTCGGCTGTGAACATACAGGTTAGAGCAGATAGAGATCTGGGAGATCAGTGCTTAGCTACTGCAGAATCCTTCTGCCTTTGTAGCTTCCTGTCTTCTTGTCAGAGTCTTAGTCAACACCTTTGTTTGCCATTATTTGTATGTCAAGAAGTGCCTAAGAGTCAGCTTAACTACTGCTCCTCCAAACTTCACTCACAGTCACTGCACCCACCAAATGATTTCAAACCCTGTGTCATAATCAGCATAAACTCAGCTATTCAGAGCATTATGCTCATGAAATTTTTTTCCCAAACCCTTTGCAGTGTGAGAAGGCAGCAGTGAAGATACTTAGACTATGTCTTACTTTTGGCCTAACAGTAACAAAGATAGATTGAAATTACCCTAGAATTTGTTCAGTCACATGTATGGCTTTACCCAGGGGTTGACAAAATATTTCTAGGTTTTAAATATAAATTCTTCATGAACAACAGGATACAACTTAAATCTCACAGACTTTACAATGGAAGAAAAGAGGAAAACCTTTCTTTGCACATGTAAAATGCACATACTACAAATTCAAAAATTCCTCATGTCTTGGATTTTGGAGTTTTTCAGTTTTGTCCTGCTTCTCATTGCTGGCTGTGTTTGGTGCTTGCCCATCCTAACCCATTTTGCTTCCATGCTGATTTCCTGCATAATGTAGTTTCTACTTGAAACTCTAACAGATGTCCTAGGATGCCCATACTCCTGTCCTCCACAGCTACATGAAGAAAATTGTTGCCTATCTGGAAAAACTCAAGCTAGCTTTGTTTTTGTGTATATACAAGTTAATACAGTAATCACAAGAACTTTATCACATAAAAATAATATTGTCAATGGAAGATCAGATACTGCTGTGTTTAAAGCAGCAAACTGGAATGTGGCAGATTCTAGCATTTTGGGGCAGCCACACAATCACTCTCCGCTTGATTGTCTGTGTCTAAGCAAAAATTGTGCTTATTCTGTCTTATCTTTTGTCCATATCCTCTGGTTTGGACTGAGAGCCCTTTGCAGTATTGTTTTAAAGACAATAGACACTGTCTCAGTTGAGGACTGAAGATTTTTGAAGAGCACAAATATCACACTTGAAAAATCAAAAAATTTCCTGCTTTTAGATAGATGCCTTCATTTTAGCTCCTCAGAAGAAGGGTGGAAAGGCCCTGTGGCTGCATCAGAAATGCCTACAAACTCGGAACTTCTGGGACAGCATGTGCAAGTTCAAGCAATTCTTACTTCAAACTGCAGTTTAACAGAGTACACCTGCCTCCAAAGCAGCTCTGTGATATTCAGCCTGAACAGATTGCAGTCTGCGAGCAAATTCAATTCTCACCTTCCAGGGAATTATACAACTATGAATTCCAACTGCAAGCACACATTGAATCCCACATGGATGAATGCCAGTGGCTCATTGTTGAGGACCTGGGCTAAGCCATCCTACCTGGCCTCACACCCCTCTGCAGAGTGCTACCCCTGGCTTGCCACCACTCTGCTCCCTGATGCGCCACAAATTGTGTCCTCTCCAGCACTGAAATCACCTTTAAATTTCATGCAGAGCAAGTGTAATAACTTGGACGGGGGGGCCTTTGAAGTGGCTTGCTTGGTGGTGTTTATACCCATGTGGCAGTACAGCTGAAGTGCTGCAAATTTGCAGGCTCGAACTGGTGTCAGACATTGTCTGTGTGGAATTCACATGTTGCAAATATATTTACCCATAACATCATTGCAACAAAGCAAAACTTACCTCTGTTTTCCCTTTACTTTGACAGGACCTCCTGGTGTCTTCATCTGAACCCCATGCTGTTGCCTGAAAAACCAAAATGCATGTCACACAAGAATGCCACCAACCACCATGTCTGGAGACTCCCAAAACAAAGGCAAGCATCTCCAGCCAATTTACGCAGCCCAATTTAAAAGCAGCATTGTGACAGTAAACATGTATCTAACTCCCACTGTGCTCATAGTGCACACAAATGATAAATAGATGAGAAGTTCAGAGGCAGTGGCAACTGGAACGTTCACAGAGAACAGACTTTAATTTACATGTAAATATAATTTCTGATCATCATTCAGCTGGAAGGTCCAGGACATAAGCCCCACACACGAAGTCATCACATTCTTTTTAAAGAGGCTAGTGCTGTATAAGCCCCAGCTTTCATTGCCAAAAAGAAAAATTCCCTACAGCAAAGTCCAGCAGTTCTGCACAAATCTGTTGGTCTTCATAAATTTACCCCCAAGATAATCACCTTCTAAGTAACCCTGCAGTGAATCAAGCTGGATCAAGACTGGGAGCTGACAGGTGAAACCCAGAGAGATGGGAAGAGGGGAGAAAGGCTGATGGTGATTTGTGATGCCAGACAAGTGGGGTCAGGTCCTGAGGTAGAGTAAAACACATTAGGGCTGAGGGCACTATTGACTGGAGGCCAAGAGCATGTGGGGTCCCCCGGTCACCTCTGACTGCTTCAGAATGAAGAGGCCTCTTCCTCCACAAGAAAATTCAAGACCAGAAAAGCTTTATGAAAGAGAACTTTCAGATTTAAAATATTTAGCAATGTATCCAACTATTCAGTGCCCTCCCCTATTTTCCTCCCTTCAGCACTTTTTAAAAATAGTCCTAACAAATTCAAGCAGGTATTGTTAGCTGGAGGTGAAAATACATATAAATATCCATACTATACATAATACATCATTCTGTGTACCAGAAAAACAGCTCTGTTACATAGAGAAAGGCCAGGCTTACAAAGTTCAGATAAAGATCCAAAGCTCCTTTAACAGAGCCAGGTTTTCTTTATTTTTATTTTCCTCAGTCCATTACCAACAAAGGAAATAGCTTCAAAGTTCGGTCCGGATCTGAACTCTTCTTGAACTTCTCACTGCAGCCAATATGCTTTTTAAACCCTAGGCTGCCACAGAAATTGTCCTCTTGACACATGATAAATCCAGTTTTTTGCAGGAGAAAGTTGGGAAACCACTAAAAAGAGAGGATGAATTTTCCCACTCCCAGCTCAGGTCCATGAAGACATTCAGAATGACAAGAAATGCAACCAGCCAGGAAATGCATTTATATACAATATTTGGGGAAGGGGTATTTCTATCTCATTCAAAAGGAAAAAAAACCAAAACAACAAAAAACTAAAAAAAACATCTCTCCATTAGCTGAGCATTTCATTCAATTTGACTTGAAATAAAGACTTCATGAACACAGGCAAAGATCTGGTGAGAGAAGAGAAGAGCACAGGTATTTTCCTGGAAGCCACTTGGGAAATACCTCCCACATATACTGCAGTCCAGTCCAGGGTGGAGGCCAAAAGCTTGTGCCTCAGAAGTGTTTTTGTGAGAGCTGGGATAAGTCTTTGCTGAAAAGGATCATTCAGTCATATCCTGAGAGGGAATGTCACTGGATGACAGAGTTCACATTGTAAGCCATCACAGGAGAGCAAGGAGTTTTTCCTGCTGACTACCAGGAGCTGTTGAGATCGGCAAAGCAACTGCACAGTAGGATTTTGATCTGTAATCCCAGCTCAAGCCCATCCTCATTAAAACACTTTGTCTTTGTACCTTCAGTCAAGTTTTGACAATTTTAATTAAAAAAAAGATATTCAGAAAAAAGATAACTTATTGTGTGTGAGCCCTTCCCATTTTAAAACGAGAGACAGAGAACTTTCCATTATACAGCCCAGTTTACCTTAACAGTCCTTGACAGGAGAAAATGAAAACAAAAATTGTTGGTTGCTCCAGCAATCGATGCTGCTTCTCTGCAAATACTCTGGGTCACCTGGGATTGCAGCAGTGCAACACAGAAGAATTTGGCCTCCCAGGAATCACCCAGCTCTTCCTGCCAGACACCTGCACCACAGAACTTCGAGGCATGTTGCAAACATAGCTCTAGTCAGAGCACTGCTCTCCTCCAGCTATGTTCTAATGTGCCTAAATGTTTTCTTCTATTAGGCACATTGCCCTTCAGCCTTCTGAAGCACTACCTTGATGAGCAGTGATAAAGAACTATCCATTTGGTGATGGCCCAAATTCTAGCAACATGTTGTTTATGACTACACCATTAGTCAGGGTGCACTTCATTAGAGCTAAGAGGATAATTAAGCAATATGGTAATCCAGAGCATGTTTTACAAGTCCCACACATGCCTTTGGCAGGACAGGGAGGAGCTAGCTTGAGGGCTGACTAACTCCAGTGACCTCTGGTGACTCAAAGAAAATATTCATGACCCTGCAAAGCAGAACATCTTGACAATAATAAAAGTATAATTGCAAAGCAAAGCAGCTAATGTGCACTTAAATATTTGTACTGCAAGGTCTGCTGACCTACAGGCTAGACCAGGCCTTTTGCTGGACTCCCAGGAGCCCGCACACATCTGTGGCCATGGCCTGTGGCTTGGACCTGGCTAGGCTCAGACCTCTGAGCCTGGGGCTTTCACATGAGCTCTCCAGCACTGTTTGGTTTCTTCGCTTGACTGATCAGCTGTCTTTTCAGGTCAAAATGTCCCACCCTTGTCACCTTTGTTGCCTTGGGCTACTCTGTGCAATCTCCCTGGAGGATGCTGGTGTTCTGTGTCCTCCCACTGGTGTATCCAACCCAAGCCCCTCCTCCACAGATGAACACATATTCTTCCTCTGCCTTAGATTCATTTTGCCCCAGGATCAAACTAGTGGATATTTGACAGAGCAACTTTCAAAAAGATCTCTCTCTCTGTGGTGCATCTGTGTGTACCCATATATTTATCAGTGAGACACAGACCTACTTAACACTTGCATAACACCACGGCACTGTAAGAGATGCTTTGTATTCCTTAGCTGATCATAATTCTTCTCAAAAGCCATGTTCTTGAACAATGGTTTAGGTGCCTCCCCTTCCTTCCCTTATTTTCTTCAATAAACTAATTTTATTTTTTTTTTCTTTTTTTTTCTTTTACTGCTTTAACTGCCTCTGCAAACTTGGATGAGGGACAAACTGTATCCACCAGATGTTTTTGGTCACTCTGTTGGGATATCATCCTGCATTTATGATTAATTTTCTCAATTGTCTGAGACATTTCAGTTTCCCAGCCCCAGAAAACACATCTGGGATTATTTTTATACCTCCTGCTACATGTGTCAATCAAAAGCAGTACACATCTCTGGACCCATATGCAATAAAACAATTTTCATGGCATGGTGTCCTGGTTTAGGACACATGGGTTGCAGGAGACAGTCTGGATGAAGACGTGACAAACCTGGGAGCCGGGCTATATCCAAACACAGGACACTATGTACTAGGCATGAACTTAAGCAACCAAGCAAAAAGCTTTTTAGGCTGTCACAGGGTCAGCAATTCCTTCCATTACATCCTTATAGGGAACAATCCAGCTTTTCATGCTACCTCCTTACAAATTCTCAAGTATTTCTTCCCTCATGCATTTCCAGAAGAAATGCAGTTTTCTAACAGTGTTTCCATCTATTAAGGACCTCCTCTATAACCACAGTGCCCATTTGCAGGATGGGGGTACCCAGAGTCATGTGCCATGTGAAGGGAACTGCTTAGCTGCTATGCAAGATGAGCCATGCAAACCATGGGCAGGACTGCCCAGCCACCTGTGCAGAGAGACACCAGATGATAAGCAACTTTGTCCCTGAACTGAAAATACAAATAAACATGCCTTCCTTCAGCCTATTTGCAAGGACAGCTGGTCCTTCACATCTCTGTTTCCCGAGTTCTATGCAGGCAGATTTTCTCAATTATTAATAAATAAATAAATAAATGCACATTTGTGTATTATTTCTGCATTTTCAGAAGTCCCATGAAGGAGATAATCACAGAGAAGCATTCATGTGTGCAATCACACGTACCTTGTGTGACATTGCCCAACTAGAAATTAACAGAAGGGGTGACAATAGCTAAGCCTATTCAGTATATCTGAATGTTCAGTGGTCATATCCAGACACAGAAAGAAAGAGTTAATATCTCTCCCAGTAAATTATAAGCATCACAGTTCTGACTGCAGATCAACAGTGCTCTAGAATTCTAGCTCATCATGTGCTGTCACATCAGTTATTCAGCACGCACTGCTGAGAGAGGCTTTCTAGATACATTTATTTAATTACCTGCACATCCCAGTGTTGGCTTCCAAAGTACCTGCCTGTCACTGTTATCAATAGTTATGTGCATTCTCAGCTGATAACGTGAAAATTTCCTAGACTTCTATGGACCATCTTCTGTACTCAGGTCAGCAATTTATACTTCAACACCACAATATGAATTTACAGATTAAGCATACACTAATCCCTGCACTGTACTTACATAATACAGGTTGCAGGTTTTCATGCAAAACCAAAACACTGCTTAAAACTGGAAAGGTAAGATCGGAGGAGAATATGTTACATACATGTTTATTAATTAAACCCATTGTTAATTATATCCATCTAAGGTGTTTTATTATGAACGTATCCATCTGTTACCAACCTCAGTTCCATGAAACAAGTGCTCCACGCAAACCACTTGCATGCCTGCAGACAGACCCACAACCATATTGTTCTGTCCTACTAGGGGAAAAATGTGTAATACCAGAATGCACATTGTATGTTATGTATAGTATGTATATTATTGTATATTATATTATGTTTGAAAGGAAACAAAAATCCCTCAAGTACAAGCTTACTAGAAAAAAAATAACAAACTCAACAAACAAAACCCCCACAAAACAAACAAGCAAACACCCCCCAAATCAGGTACTGATTCTGTGAGATGCCAGTTTTTTTCTAGAAGGTACTGTGTTCCTCAGGTTTCTGCTGCTGTCAGCAGATGCAGAAGCAAAAG